TAATGTAAGTAATGCATCAAATCTGAAAACATCAAGGGAGGAAAAGAAAGCTAACTGGCTGTACTGGAAGCTTTGCTTGTAGAGCAACTTTAGTTCAACATTAGGCACACTTGTTTCAGTTGTGATCATATGAACTAATGAACCTGAAAACCATGTCATTCTTATTTTTGTCCTTTTTTCTTGTATATTTCACCTATTAAATATTTTTTCCAGTACTGTCTTTTCCATTATGTTTCCTTCAAAAAGAAGGGACAATGCTTCCACTACACAAGGTAACCAATATTTTGCAAAACGTCTTATGATTCTTTACCGAGGGAGTAGTTTTTATGTAAATCACCAAAGGTTTATTTTGCAAAATACTGGTTACCTTGTGTAGTGTGAACTAGCTTACAAAAAAATGAACAGTTTAGAGCACATGAAAGTCGGCAACCACTTGTATGACAAGACAACTTTAAAAAATAGGCAGTGCTAGCTCTGGAAAGATAAGTGACTTTTCTCAAATGTTCAGGACACTTATTAGAATTTTAACTGCAGACTAGGTTTCTGTCCGTGTGAGCAAAGATTGAGTCCAAAAATAATTTAAGAACTTCAATGTGTGATAGTACACTCTTTTAAGGAACACCAGAAACAACGTTGACTTAAGCAGGGCTTGCCGATCTGGAAGCCCAAAAAACCATGGAGAACAACAGAGATGAAAATCCAAAAGGCATCAGGAATTTGGGGATGGATGCGACCAATCATTGTCTGAGTCATTTACAGAATTTCTGGTTGTAACAATTAAGCACTGCATTTCATAATGTTGCATAATTTTGATATTATAATCAACCCATACCAGCAGCACGCAAAGTTATCTGGTCACTTGAAACTTAACGGAGAAAAGAAAAATACTAACTCCTGCAGGCTGTGGGGTGTAAGTTGACATCAAGTTAACGGGCATCAGTCATTAGGAAACACAAAATGCTTGACCACAATGCTTGACCTAGCATAGCTTTACTTTGATATGTTGCAGATTCCAAAAGCAGCACATAAGACCTTCAGCTTCCAGAAAATCCAGCAAACACAAAATGCTCGAGAATCCGGAGAAGCAACCCAAAACTGAATTAGCTCAAAAGGGCAACACAGTGTATATCCCAGCCAGACACTCAGATTCCTAAGGTGGACGGCCAACATGACTCATTTCGAGTCAAGTTGTAGCTCGGGAAATGTCAGACGACAGTGGGGAACTCTTATTTCTGAGGACGTGAGTGTTCGGTCAACTGTGGTTTGGCTTTCAAAATCTTGAGCAAACATCAAAGTTCGAAAAACCAATTGCGAGCGTCTGTCAAGACTCAAGCAGTACGGCGCTGGGCACCAAATCTACGGGAACTAGGGTTTGCAACCTCAAGCTGGGGGCAAATCGCGCGCCCCCAATCTAGCGCTCGATTTCGGCAGGC